GAAAGGAAAGGAAAGGAAAGGAAAGGAAAGGAAAGGAAAGGAAAGGATAATACAGGCATCCCTGCCTGTTGACTTTGGCATGGCACAGGCTGATGGAGAATGCAGTCTGCTCTTGAGGAGGAGCCCATCCTTCTAATGTTGGGCTGGGGGCAGCATGGAAAGGGGTGGAGGGAGGGCAGCCAGGGCCAAGCCTTGGCTGCCTTCCATCTCTGCTCTGCCATCAAGCCGAGTGGCTTCTTGGGCTACGGAGACACCCCGTTTCCTAGTTGCCTTGGAAAAGAGGCAAGATAAAAAGGTAGCTAAATAAAAAAAACGGACAACCCATTTCCCATGGCTGGTGCTGCAATCATTTGGCCAGAGAGAGAGAGAGAGAAAGCGATGCCAGGCGACAGAGCCTGAATGGATGGCAGGGACCAGGGGGGGCTTCTCCTGCCTCCGGATACAGCCCTGGGATCTGAAAACATTTTCAGCCCCTGAAACTCCCCCAATTTCTCTCCACATTTCATCTCTTTTGGTCACAAAACAAAACAAAAAACTTCTTAAGGACCCAATTTGGAACCGCTGCTTTCCTGGTCTCCTGCTGCTCCATTCCAAGACTATTTCACCCTCTCGGTGGAAGTGACAAATGTCCGCCCAAATAGAGATCTTTTGAGCAGTGCAGTGATCTCCCCAGCCACACCAAGGGGAAGTTGGGGGCCCTTTCCCAGATCCCCAGGGGACCCTGCAGGCCTCCCCACACCTTCTTCTGCCCTCCCCTCCCCCACTGGGTTTTGAACCCTGGCCACGTTTCTTCCTCCGTTTGATAGAGAAGTTATTTTGGATCCCAGTGCTGAGCTTGATGACCTCGGGGTCCCTTTTAGCTCTAATGGGGCTCCAGCGATTCCCTGAACTCAGAAGGGAAAAAGTTCATTAATGCAGGAAAGAAGAAAGGAGGGAAAGAAGTAAAGAAAGACAGAGACAGTTACAGACACCCAGACACTTTTCTTCTAGAAAGCTTTTAATGTCTTCTTTCTCGTTCAAATTAGTCTCCTTCCTGGCCCGTTTTTTTCACGGAGACCCTGGTTAAAACACTTCATAGAAGTAGGAGAGACTTAGAGCAGGCACTCTCTGGGGGGGGGGGGTTGTGTCTGTGGGCAACACTTGTGCTTCTCTGGCTCCTTTGCCTTCCCCAGTCCTGGAAGTGAGCAGGGAGGAAGAGGAGGAGGAGGAGGAGGGGGAGGAGGAGGAGAGACGCAGGAAAGCGCAGCCTGAAAAGAGAGGCGGGCTTAGTGTGGCAGGACAGCCAAAATAGTGGCCAAGGATGCCAAGGCTAGAGAGCCCAAAGGGTTACCTGACACGCTGCCAGATGCTCCCAGGCTGGCCCTTTCAGTGGGCGGAACTGGCCGAGAGTGGGTAGTAGTCAAGGAGGCCTCCAGGAATGGGGTGCTGAAGAAGTCCAAGCCCAGAGAGCCTCCGGAGGGGAGAGCCTCCTGGGGTCCTGGGGGCCCTTCTTCGTCCGCCGCTGGCACCGCTGTCCTCAGAGCCGGCTCCTGCTCCTCCTCCTCTGATGCTTCGGCCCGCAGCTCCTCCTTGGTTGGCTCAGGCTCCCCTCCAAAGCCAGCAGAGGCCTCCGAGGCAGCCTCGCCCTCATCCGGAGGACCGGAGACCCCGGCTGGTGGGGGCCAGGAGGCGCCCGAGTGGTCCCCGCTCTCTTCAGACGAGCCGGCTGGCGTCATGCTCATGGATGGGAGCAGCAGGGGGACCCAGGGGGTCCCTGGGAAAGCGGCCATCCCTGGAGGCTCTGCTCCGGCCTCTCGGGGAGGCCCAGAAACGGGGCTGCTTTCGACTCGCCCGGCCGGAGACATTCCTGCGCCAGCTTCCGTGGGTGGACTGGAAGTGGGGCTGGCACCGTGGCTCCTTTCCGGGGCGGCCTCTGAGGGAGGCACAGAGGGAGCTCCGTGGACTTCGATCCCTGGGCTGTCGGAGAAGCCGGCTGCAGCCTCGGAAGGTGAGGGCTCTACAGGGCCGTGGACAGGGTGGGTCTCCTTCTCCTCCCTGGGCTGGATCCCCACTGCCTCTCCATCCGCAGCCTCCCCTTCCTGGGGAGCTGCCTCCACGATCTCTGGCTCGCCTTCCTCCCTCTCCGGCCTTTGGTCCAGGGGCTGGGCCTCCTGGGTGCCGGGCACCTCCTCCGCCCTGGCCTCCACCATCTCTCGCTCTGAAAAGCCGAAGGAAACGGGTGAGGGAGAGAAGCAGTGCCCACCCCCCACCCCCGCATCCACAAAGGAAACGGGCAGCACAGCTTCGTTTCCCGCAACAACACGCAGCTTCTGGGGCCTCGGCCCTCCGTCTTTGTACAGGTGGGCATGATCAAACGTCCGTGCCTCTTGGCCCAAATTCTAATCAATTTGCAATTAATTCATCCAACATCAACCGTCAGATATTAATCAGCAGTTCCTATCAATCTGCTCTCAGATATCCAGGCAAATTAGAGGAATCTGCTGGGCGTGGAGTTTCTCCATCAAGGACCATAAGTCTCTTTTCACACACAGGCACACACACACACACACACACACCCAAACACGCCCCGTGCCCCATCAGGCCCTGGGAAGCCCATTTCTTGCAAGTAAGGCCTCAGGGGCTGCTGGCCCCCAACTGCCCCCACTGCCCCAGCTTGAGCCCCTCCCATCGGCTGAAATGCAGTGGGGTCGCCTGGCCAGACCCCCAGGAAGACGGGCATTGAATACAGCCAGACAATTCGCCTCACGGACAACTGGCTGCAGCCCCCTCATGCCGCCTCTCCCTGCCCCAGCCAACCCACCGTGGCTGCCCCTCCCCGGCCCTCCTCGCCCTGAGAAATCCCCCACGAGACAACTGGCCCGGCCAATTTGCCCCGCGTGGGATTACCTGCCAAATGCCAGAAATCTGCACAGAATAACTCAGCAAATGCCAGAGGCTTCCTCCTCCTCCTGCTCCTCTCCGTCCCTGTCTCTCCTTCCTTCCCTCCCTCCCTGATCCGGCTTACCTCCCCCACCAATACCCCTCAAGCTCTCTGCCCCCCCTCCCTCATTGCACAACCAGCCCAACCTGGGGGTTTGAATTCAAGGCTCCACCCTGCCCGTCCACTGCTGGCTGTGAAAAGTTGACTGCAAAATGAATGGTGCCACATTGCCCTGTGCTGAAAAGTTTGGCCCTTTCTGGTTAACAACCGGTGTGTGTGTGTGTGTGTGTGTGTGTGTGTTGGTGGTGGAAGAGGCTGTGTGTGGCAAAGAACTCCAGGAACAGGCGTGGGATCCGGGGGGGGGGGGGGGGGGGGAAGACCCAGCCATGCTCCTCTGCCCCCTTGCCAGCCCACAGCCTGTGAACAGGGCGGCTTCCCTACTGCCTGGGTGGGTGCCTCTTCCTCACTCTGCTCTCCAAAACACACGAGTGCGCGGTAAACGTGCAACGTGCGCTGGCCGGAGAGAGGGGAGTCAGCTGGGCCAGGAGGAGGCAACTGGGGGAGGGGACTGTGGCCAATTGTCCCATGAAGGGCAGTTCCGTCCCCCTCATCTCTCTCTTCTGGCTAAAGAAGGCATCCCTCTGATCATTGTCTATATAGCCGGACTATCGGTATTCCCACATGCCGACATGAACCTTCAGGTGGAAGCTGTGGATTGTTTTTGATTTTGGAGAAAACTGAAAGCGCTACATCCAAGATGGTTTGACGGAAAACAGAGGCAAAGGAGATGATCCTAAAACCCACAAAAATTGCTTGCTCCCCCTCTGCCCCCACAGAACGGAGGGATTGGAGAAAAATAGATCTTAGTGCTATGAGCGGTTTGTGTGGTGTCTCCGTGGCTCTTAGCTCGGGGCTGCTGGACACAGTCCCACCGCTTTCAAGTCGTGGAAGAGCACACAGCTTACTCTCTTGCACTCCCTTTCTCCAATCTCTCTTCTCTGAAAGGGAAGAAAGAAAGAAACATTCACAGGTTAGGCACAATTCAACGCACTGACTGCAATGGAGATCATGTGGCTGGAGAATGCAGCAAAGGTCATAAATGGTTGGAAATTGGTATAAAGTTATTTTTTCAGCACCATTGCAACTTTGAGCGGTCACTGAATAAATGGTTGGTAAGATGGTCTCCTATTGACCTCACCCCTTTCCTAAGAGGGGGTGTGCATAAGTGCACCAACGTGCCTACCCTCCCTGTCCTATTGTTTCTTATGCATAACTACCGTATGTTTTTACTTATACCTATTATCTTGTAAGCAATTGACAAACCAAATAAAATAAAAAAAATAAAAAAATTAAGGACCACTTGCATAGAAATCGGCCACTGGAGGGAACTACAGTTCCAGGCAAGCAGAAAGAAAGTGAGACCTACAACATGGCAAAGAAGGGAACGGCTGTTGAGGCATTTCAGAGAATTTTTGAAGAATTGGGAGAGAAACTTATAACAAATTTAGCAGTGATAACTTCTGCACCTGTAAATGTGCTTTTGAAAAAAAAAAACATTATAAAGAGAAGAAATGAAAAAATGTTAGACAACAATACAGAAGAATTTATAGACAGACAGGATGAAGAGAGGATACAAACTGTAACTGATCAGGAAATATGGGAACATAAAGAAATTTGGGATTACAAAATAGCGAAGACTATCAGAGTAGAAATACAAACGACAAACCAAGCGATGAAAAAAGATCTGGGCTGGGACTTCTTTTTGGACTTGCAAAGGCGTGTTTTTTAAAACCCCAAGAAATATTTGAGATGGAAGGAAGTAAATGTGAATGGAAATTCAATCCTACTACAGTAACTTCGTGAATCAAAGATGAACATTGTCAGAAGCAAAAGAAAGAATATAAAGTTGACTTGTTTGACCTAAGATATAGTAAGAAAAAAATATAATAAAGTTCTGGAAACCCTTTATAGACTTTTTGCTGACATTTGAACAAAAATGAGGATTTTTGGATTTGTGAATGGCCAAGGGGGAGGGTTATGGGAAGAAATGAATCATGTATGTAACTCCATTAGGGGCGGGGTCTTATTCATTTGCCAGTATTTCTTGCAAAGAGTATTGGGAGTTGCTCCTTTAAATATTCTTTTTTTCCTGTCTCCTTTTGTTTCCTGAGTTCAGTTTGTGTTACCTTTTAACTCATCTTTCAGTGTTTTTTTTAAAGATGCCCCTCCCTCCCTCCCCACCACCTACCAGGCCCATGTTGCCTGGCACAGCTGCCGCCTCCTTCCTCCCCGTCTTCTCCGCTCCGCCTGTCACAACCGCCTGGGCCAGCCTCCACGGGCTCTGCGGTGGCTGCCTCCTCCAAGGCTTCGCTCGGCTCCTCTGGGGCCCCAAGGGGGTCCTGGAAGAGGGGCACAGAATAAATGGCCCCCCTGGACTCCTTGGCCCCCTCCGGCTCTCCCTCCAGCAGCTGCAGCTCCTCCATCTCCTGGGTCACCGTTGAGATCTCCTGGCTGCTTCTCTCGGCCTCCGGGAGGGGGAGGGGCGATTCCCGGGAGGGGCTGGTCTGCCCTGCAGCAGGAAGAGAAGCAGGCGTTACTGCCCAAGGCTTCTTCTGGGACCCGGAAGAGCCATCTGGGCAGGCGGGCTGGCACCACCACAACCTGCCGAAAAACGCAAGCGCTCGCTCTGGCCTCCAGTGACCTTTGGGAGGAGAAGGAGCAAGGAGGAGGGAAGCCCCGGCCCTTTTGGGCTCTAGGAACGAAGGAGCACGGAGCCCCACCTCCCACTCGGGTCCCTCTCGGGCTCGCCCAGCTTCTGGTTTGGAGAACTGCCAAATCCCATCCCTGGCTGGCCCCTCCCACCCCTCCCACCCCTGCCAGGAGTCTCCACGCGGCCCCGTTTTGGATGTAAGTGCAGGGCCCACACGGAGGCCGGAAACCGAGGCCCTGGAAGGCTGGAAACGGGCCTGTCCCCAGTCTCCGGAGGGCCTCCAGAGCCCAGGGAAGACCCTTCGCATCCTCCCCGAGGCTTGAGGAAAGCCCCCGGACCCTGGGGAAGGTGGAAATGCACCCCCCCTCCAGCTAGGCCATGCCCACCACCCCAGCAACCGGGCAGAGAACCCATTGCTGACATGTTTGAAGGCCACCCCTGGCCAGATGTGGTGAAAATGAGCACTAGGCCTGCAAGTGGAATGCACAGCCCGTGTCCTGAGCCACCCATCCTATCCAGCGGAGGATATCGGAGCTTTTCGAGGGGAGGGCAGGGAGGCCCCTGCTGGCTCTGGAACCCCTTGGCTCATAAGGGGCATTCAATAGCGGCACATCATGTCCTGGCTGGGAAGAGGGTGAACAAGCCCCTCCAGGGCCTCCAGCTCCACTCATTGAGCTTCTCTCGGCCACTCAGAGGCCTGGCCGGTTGTGTGCATTTGTACGGCAACTTTTTCCCAGAAAGATCCTGGGGAAAAGGACTGAGGGCACTGCAAGAAACGCAGCTGCTCCTAAGAGCCCAGCCAGCTAAACCTTCATCCTCCTCTTTTTTCCTGGCAGGAGGCAAATGAGGGCGAAAGCTGCTCCTCAAGAGGCAGGAGTGGAGCCCTGAACCCCACAAGGAAGATCCCTGCCTACCTCGGAAGCAGAACACGTCGAACTTGCTCTGGGGGTCTGGGAATCCCGTCTGATTGCGGAAGACGAAGAGGGTCTTGACTCCCGGCATGTTCCCTCCGCACTTCTCGCGGGGCGTCACGATTGGGTAGCGCACACTGCCGTCTGCCAGCCAGCCTGGGTTGCAGTGGTCCAGCCCTTGGTTCCAGGCTGCATACAGCTGGCCCGTCGTGGCCATTTCCAACCCCAGTTTTTCACAGGCCGCTCTGGCCTCCTCCCAGGTGAATTTCCCCGGGGAACTCTCCACAAACAGGTCCCCTGAAGGCAGAAATTGCAGCGGCTCATAAAAGAGAAAAAGCACCCGCATATTTTATTTATTCACATACTGACCACACAGGGTGTTCTTTGGAATCAGTTTGGCTTTAAAAAAAATCAGAAAAAAATGGAATTTACTGGTGGGAGGCAACAGGGCGTTTCTTGTATAATGTTTCTATTCTACAATCAATCTGATTTCCAAAGAAGATATTTTTTTCAAAGTATAGTCCACAGCCCACAAAAGGCCACAAAACTGACCATAAAGTTCTTCAGCGTAGCAGTAGACGTCGTACATGTCACCTGGATCAACTATGCCGTAATTGCGGATTCCCGGAAAGCCGTTCATGTCTCCATAGCAGGCTTCGCGAGGGGTATGGATAGGGTACCTAGAGGTGATCATAGTGTGATTACACGATAAGGCAAGTCAGGTCTGGCTGCCTGCGGTCAGGGTGGAAAAGAACCCAAGAATGTGAAATGGAAATAAACAGGAGCTGAACCAACCAGCTTGTGAGAGAAAATGGCAAAGGAAAGTGGAACAATCCAGCTTGGAGTTCAGCTCCGGTGGGCTTCTCTTCCTGCCTTGGGGAAGAGGAGCCACACGGCCAGAGGCCTCCAGAGGCTTTGCCAAGGACTAGGCAGGATGCAAGGAGAGGCCACTGGTGGGCAGGGAGGACCTGCTTCCCCCATCTTCAACCTGCCCAATTATATAGGAACTCTGCAATTTCCCCCACCCCACAAAGAGAGACGGCGTCTGTTTGAAGAAAAAAATAGATTGAGGAGAAAATCTATAAAGTACATTTATTACCATGCAAATAATTCAATTCAGCAAACTAGAAACTTGTCTATTTTGCTGGTCTATGTTAAGAGGGGAATGTATCTTTGTAACAGTAAAATCTAAAATATTTATTTTGCCAAAGTAGTTCTAGGTCAGTATGCATTAATATTTGGGTCCTACTCCTTTTCCTCCATACATACATTGAAATGGGTTTCCAGGTGAAGAATATAGAGGTATTTTTTTTCCTAAGCATGGATACTAACCCTAACCAGAAAACGAAGAACTGAAAACAAAACTTTTAAGTAAGACGACTAAGAAAAAATGAAATAAAAACGCAAACACATAAATTTCAAAAGTACAAATGCTTCATGCTGCCATGTTGAATGTTTCTCTCCGGACAAGGTAATTCTCAGGGAATTACAGCGCTGCAGCTTATCCCAGGAAACGCGCTTTTGCTGCAGGATTGTCGAAACGTTTTTGCGTTAAAATAAAATTGACACCGATGCCGGCGGTGCAGGGTTCAAGGTGCCTTTTACTTCCCCAACAAACCCGGCAACGAACCAGAGGAACGGCAGCCTTCCGCCTCGGTCCACGGGCTTCCGGACCGGTGCCTGCCAGGGCCGGATTCCCCGACCGCCCCCCGCCCCGCTCCCGCCGCGCCCCCTTACCTGACGGTCTGGTCCGCGAGCCAGCCGGCGTCGCACTGCTCGTAGCCGCTGCGGTAGGCGGCGTGGAGCTGCTCGGGGGTGGCGATGGCCGCCCCGATCCGGGCGCAGGCCGCCTGAGCCTGGGGAAAGGTGTAGGCGTAGCGGGAAGAGCCTCCCCGGTAGTGGAAGACGACCCCTGCAAGGCGAGAGGAGGAGGAGGAGGAGGAGGAGGGGGCTGCAGACCTCGGGGGCGCCGGGCCCCCCAAGCGCTTGCCCGCCCGCCCGCCTCTCCCGGGGCTTCTCCAACGGTGGCGGCTCGGCTCTCTCGGGCAGGAGGGGGCCAGCTTGGCGGGGGAGGCGGCCCGAGCGCCTTTCTCTCGGAGGGGGCGGAGGGCGGCCGCCTGCAAGCCTCGCTAGTCATTCCCAGGACCGTTGCAACTCCGAGGCTCACTTTCCTAACCCGCCCCCGACGCCCCCCCCTCCGTCCTCAGCTGTCCGGGGAGCGTGACTGCCGGGCGGGCTTCCCCCCCCCCCCCCCCCCAAACGACGCCCCGTGGGACGCTTCCTCTGAGCTCTCTCTCGCTCTCGCTCTCCTGGGCATTTGCTCCCAGCATCTTTCCCTTTTTCCTTTCCTTTCTTTCTCTTTCTCTCTCTTTCTTTCCTTCTTTTTCTCTCTCTCCCCCCCCCCCCCAAACTACAGCTGTCCTTAATATAGGACACGTCAAAAAGCCTGCCAGCTCTGAAGAGCAAAGGTACGCTTTTTGTTGCATTCATGGCTAACCTGGGAAGCTCCACAAGGCTGGGTCCTCTTGAGGGGGGGGGGGAGCTTTGTAGGATCTTAATTTCGTCATGGCCTCTAGGTTTGCTTTGCTTTACCAACTAATTTTGAAGGTTGACAGTGTTGAACTAGTAGGGGGGAAAGGATCTTCATTGAAAGAAATAGATTCTTCTAGCCTAAAATGATTTTTTTTAAATACTCTACATGAGAATTTTGCTTCGTGGAATGAAAGAAAGGAACGTAGAACATATGATAATAATAGACTTGGAAGGGATCGTGGAGGTCTTTGAGTTCAACCTTCTACCATTCTGAACAAATGGCTGTCCTGAAACCCCCCAGTGTTGGAGCAGTCACAACTTCTGAAGGAAAGCTATTCCACTGGTTGGTTGCTCTTACCATTAGGAAATTAGTTCTGGGTTGGCTTCTCTCCCTGGTTAGTTTCCAACCATTGTTTCTTCTCTTGCCTTTTGGTGGCCCCTTCAAATATTGGAGCCCTTCAAATATTGGACGACTGCTATCCTGTCACCCCTAGTCAATTCTTTCCTTTTCTAGACTAGACATACCCAACACCTGTAACCACTGTTCATGGTTTAGTCTTTTCAAGGAAATGGTTGCTAATGCTTGCTAGTCCACCACTCAGAATATGGGGATCATAAATTGAATCAAGCAGAAATAAATAATGTAAATACATAGTAGATATATATATATACCGGTAGTAGTTTGAGAAAAACTGCTTGGATCATAGCAAGGAAGTAGTCAAATGAGAGATTTTAAGAACTTGAAGGAGATCTGCGTGAAAGAATTTAAGCCACAAATGTGAAGCTACTGCTGAGATCTCCGTGAAATGATTCCACTGCGTGGCATATTGCGGATTATGGATTAGGTTACATTTCAAACAAGATTCCCAACTGAATCGGCTGTGAAAGCTCAGTGCCCTAGCAGTTGGAACTCTCTCACCAGAAATAAGGACAGGCATGCAATCCAGCCTCAGAGAGAGGCTGGGAATCTCTTACCCTTCACCTTCACCTCCAGGAAATCCTGCCCATCCTCAATGCCGTGCTGAGCGTCACAGCGATACAGTCCGGAGTCGTTGGACTGCAGCTCACTCAGGACCAGGGTGGCGTCCGTGGGCGAGTCCGGGTAGAAGGGCAGGAAGACTCGGTTGCGGTAGATTTCGCGGACTTTGACCTTTAGGCCCCGGGCCACCAGGATCTCGATCTCTTTGCCATTGGCATGGAAGGTCCATTTGACTCGGAGGGTGCCCCGAACCCCGTGGCGGCTGGCCGTTCCAGCAGTGGGCAGTGGCCGCAGGTAGGTGATGTGGCAGGGGATGGTCAGGCTGCCCGACAGGACGGCTCGTACGGGCGGATACTTGGAAATGGAGACCTGCAGAGCTTTGAGGTCATCTGAGGGGAGAAAGTGGGGGGGGGGGGGTCACCTGAAGAACTGGCAGGGACTGAATGGGTCTTTTGGGAGGGTGGTTCTTTCCCCTTGCAGCTGCTCTTCCACCCCTTCCTTTGACTTGCAAACTGAGGCAATGGCTGACCATGGCATCTCTGGAGGGTCTCCTGGCCCTGGATGAGATGGACCATGTTGCCTGTTAACCGTTCCACCTGTTTCCACCAGCATCACTTGCAGGAGCTCCAGAGAGGTGAAAAGGGGCCCGGGGGAGTCATGGCGGCCATTACCCACCTCCCCCTTTTCTCAGAAGGGCAAAAGGTTGAAGACTCGGGGCCTGAGGGCCAGGGCCTGCCTTCTGCCAGGGACGGAGAGGACCCGCCCAGCCACGGGGCTTCTGCCCCACCAGGCCTCGTGGCCACGTTACCTGTGCTCTCCCGGGCGAAGTGGAAGGAGGCCCCCAGGGACACCAGCTGGGCCAAGGCAGCGCAGAGCAAGAGGTCTCGGCAGTGGGCCATCCTGGTCCTGCCTGCAGAGAGGCAGGGAACTGGGGTTAGAGGGAGGGAAGGCTTAAGCGGTGGAAGGGAAAAAAAGGAATGAGAGGGGACCCCTGCAGAACGGGGCTAGAGACCCAGATGCCTGTAAGGGGGATCGACGGGCAGTCAGACAAGCATCCGGGTCTTTCCTGCACCGGATTGTTCCCAACCAAGACCTGGATGACATCCCCCCTCCCAGCAAAGGAATCAGCTGGGGACTGGCCTTGAACTGGAGAAACACCCCCCCCCCCATGGAAAGGATGTTTTCCAGGTGGACCCATTCCGGCCGCTTTGCAGCCTCCTCGGCCCCAAACGCCTCCAGCTTCTCTGGCTCCATCGCGCCAAGGAAACGGCTTGCAGGGGGGCTGAGTTTTAAGGTAGGTGCTCAGAAGGCGCTTTCGGGGGTGCGGGGTGGGTTGGGGGGGGGAGACTGGGAGAAAGAAGCTCCCAGAACAGCACAATCTGGAAAGTGCGAGAGCGCCACCTGCTGGCCCTTAACGGAGAAGGAAAAGGTAGAAGAAATCCGACCGAACGGCCTTTGAGGAAGAAAACTAGGTTGCTAGGTGTACCTTAGCACGTAGTAGTCGGTGTAAATGTCACCGTGAAAGTATACCACAAAGTATAGTGTCGAGGAAGCTTGTCGGGCCCTGCCGGGGAGGAAGAAAGACCCGCTTAGTGCTGGCAACTTTCCCCCAGGGAACCCCCATCCCGACCCGCTGCCTTTTATCTCCACGTAAAACATGGCCAGCCCTCGTAGGGAGACCGAAGGAAAGCAGCTCCCAGAGCTCAGTGCTTCTGCCTTGGACTCTCTTTCTCTCTCCCTTCCCCCCTTTCCTTCTCCCCTCGCCTCCCCCTCCCCCACTCCTGGGTCCATCTAACTGAGTTTGGTTTGGAAAGAAGAGACGAGGGAGAGGCTGCAAGAGGCTTTTGCCACCCTCTTGTATTGCGAAGGGGGGGAGGGGTGTCCAGCCGGTCCAGAGCGATGGAAACCTAAATGGAAGAGTTGGTTATACACTTTGGACAGAGACTTTGGCAGGAGGAGAGGGGGAAAAAATCACCTCCTGGCAGATATAAAATGCTGATCAGGTGGGCCTTGTTCCAAAGAGATCAAACTGTGGATGAAGAAGAACAGCGATGCCCTTTGGAAGGATTCCTGCTTTGGATACGAGAGGGCTCCCAACCCTTTTATTGTGGATGCCAAGAATTGAATAGGACTGGAAATCGTACTGAATTCCTCCACAATGGAAACGGCACTTAACTCTGGGAATACATCAGGATTCAGGCTTCTCGCTTGCTCCAGAGCGGGAAGACTGGACAATGGGTTTGTGCTGTCCCAGCCAGTCGATGGGAATTGGATAGTTACTTAGGAATTATGAGCTGTCCCCTTAGGGGAAGGCATCATGGTAAAGGTAGTTAAAGGTATCCTGGGAAATGTAGTCCAGGTCACGTGGCCACATCTGTAATCCTGATGGGTCACTAATTTGACCCTTGAGAGGTTGGGGGAGTTTTCCTCACTTTGGCCTGAATTCCCTAACTCATGGGAGTTGTTTTCTATCGCTAGGAGATGGGTTAGGCCAGGGGTCTCCAACCTTGGCAACTTGAAGACTTGTGGACTTCAAGTCCCAGAATTCCTCAGCCAGCAAAGCTGGCTGAGGAATTCTGGGAGTTGAAGTCCACAAGTCTTCAAGTTGCCAAGGTTGGAGACCCCTGGGTTAGGTGATAACCATCTTCTACTACAAGGCAGATATACAAAGGATTGGTCATTAAAGAAGAACTTCATCACCAACGTGAGTTATGAGGATACCTGATGAACCAATAAATGTACTTTGTTATGGACATCTTGTTGAGTTTATCTATCTGCATCTGCACAGCTTCAAATCCACCTCTGTGCAGAGACAGAAGAATGGGAGGAAACTGGAAGGGTGCAGCTACAGGGGAGAGAGGAGGACCTAGGGTCCTAGGCCGGGGAGGGAGATTTTGGTCCAACCCGCTGCTCAGGGCAGGGCAGGCAAGCGGGTTGAGAGAAAGGAGTCGAAACAGGGGGGACATCTTGACCGCTGCTGTCAGTCGGGGTCCGCAGGAAGAGCTCCTTCAAAGGCTGAGCGTTGTCCGGGCGGGTGGATCCTGCAGCCCGGGGGGGGGGGCTTTTAGACCTGATAGGCCACTTCCAGCTCTGGGACTTCTTGGACGCGGGTTCCGCCAAAGGCCTCCTGCCAAAGCGGGGCTCGGAAAGCGGCCAGGAGATGCCTCCTCCTCGGCCTTCCCCTCGGCTGTGCGTGGCCACACCTGGCCCGGGCTCTGAAGCGGCGGCTGGCAAGAGGCAAGGCGAGGAAGACCTTGTCCCGCCCTGCTTTCCAAGGGGCTGCTGACCTTTCTCGCCTCATTGAAGCGTCTCCTCCAGGATTTATGGAGGCGGCTCCGGTCTGGCTCCTCGCAAGGCGCGTCCTCTGCCTGGCAGCGAGACGGGGGAGGGCGAGGATTTGGCCCCCCCAAAGCGATGAAGCCAACCAGCCTGGTCTTCGCAGCCCGCCCGGGGACTCCAACGACCGTCGCCCGGCTTTTGCTTCTCGGGTCTCCCTCCACCTTCTCGGGGTGGCCGCAGCAGCCGCGCACCGGACCTTCAGCTCTCCTCGGAAGGCGCGCCGGGGCGGTCCTCGCCCCCCAGGATCGGGGCATCGCGCGCGGGTCCCAGTCCAGCTCCGAAGGCGCGCGGGAAGCGGAGAGCCCAGGCGGAGGGCGCCCGAAGAGGACGCGCTCGCTCCGGCAGCCCCCGGCCCTCAAGGGGGCTTGGGCGGAGCTGGACGTCCCCCTCCGGCAGCCCCCGGCCTTCCCCGGTCTTGTGTGCGGGTGCCCGGAGCCCGTCCGGTCAGGGGCGGCTGAGCCCGAGAGCGGCACTTGCAAGCTCCGCCGGGACGCGCCACCCTTGTCGCCCCCAAAGGTTTCGCCTGCCACGGAGTTTGGCCAACCGCTCGACACGGCCGCGGGGGGGAAACCCCTTCCTGAAGGGGGAAGTTGAAGCCTTCGCCCTAGGGGCAAAGCGGGGGGAAGAGCGGCGTCCCTCCAGGCTTCTTCTAGCTGGGCGCCTGGAGAGGGAGAAGCGGCGCCCCTCGACTCCCGTCGGCCCTGAGGTCTCCCCGCCCTGGGGCTCGGCCTCCGAGCCTCGCGTCTCCTCGCCCCGCGTGCCGGACCCCGCTGCCCGCCTTGCAAGAGGAGAGGCTGGGCGAGAGCGAAAAGGGCGAGGCGAAAGCGCGTCTCCGCGTTGGGCGGGAGCGAGACTTTGGGCAGCTGCAGCGTCTGTCAAAAGTTTTGCGCGCAGCTTTCTCTGGAGACGCTGCCTGGTTCACTCGCTCTTTCTCTCTCTCACACACACACACGATGCTGAGTGTGGAGCGGTGAGGAAATCAATGCTGGCAAAGGCCCGGATCGGTTGGGGAAGTAGCCAGTTTCTACAGCGGTAAGATAAGTAGTAAAATGAGAAAGGCTGCCTTGCCAAGCCAACCCCTCCACCCCCCCCCCCCACAACCAGAATCCATTCCTTGACTCCAAGGTCCATGCCCAGCTGCCCTTTCTTTTCCTAAGGTCCAGCTGAAATCCCAACGGATAATTCGGGTTAGTTTTTTTCCTTCCTGAAGTTCAGCTTCCCTCTCTATACCATTTCCAGGGTCCCTGAGGCCACTTAAGGGGGCCTAAGGCGGCGGATATTCCCCAGGGCGGAGGAAGAGGTGGGACTAAAGGCTGAGACAAAGCAGGAAAAAAACAGGCCCTCCCCGCCCGGTGATCCTGAGTGGCATCAGGGTGTTCCCAGCATCCCCCAGTTTGAGACAAACTCATACTGGAGGGGGTGTTTCTTCGGCATCTTTCCCTGCTTCGACTTCTGGCGTAGGGGGGGGGGCACCATCAGCTCTATGCCCTCTGCCTCTGGTGGTCCTCAAGGACTTTTGAGCTGGGCAGCTATTTGTCCAGTCCGCTTCCTAAAGGCAGCTGGGTGACGCTCCCAACCCCCTCTCCCCTCAGGTGCTGACTTGATGGGCTTGGCCAGGTGACCCCTTTGGCTTATCTACCAGGTAAAGGTGGTTGCCCTGCTTTGCAATGCAAAGGCCGGCCTGTTTCACCAGAGGCTCCCAAACTGAGGTCAGGGCTGCTGCTGTGGCAAATGGAGAAGATATCCTGGATCTTGTGCTGTAATCTGCTGGGTCGTTTGTTTTGTAGTGATCTTTTTCCCATTAGCCTCTCGTGTTTTAACGGCTTGGGTAATGGGTTGTGTGATGGGCTTGCGAGTTCTTTTGTTGTGGTATCCTGGGTCCTGCGTTGTAATCTCCTGGGTCGTTTGTGTTTTGATCTCTTTTCCATTAGATTACAGCACAAGATCCAGGATATCTCCACAACAAAACTCACACGGCCATCACACAGCCCATTATACCAACATCCACTCCATCAACCAATCAAGAGGCAGCAGCACAGCCAACCAGCCCAGCACACCAGCCCCCACCACCAGTATTTATAGAGAGACGGCAGCTCCGATCACACACGGCTTGCACTGGCACGAAGCCGAAAGCACCAGCCTGAGGATGGCGAGTGGGACCTCGCCGAAACGTCACCAAGTTACTCTTAATCTTACACGGGAAAAGACCCAAACACACCTAGACCTACATACCTGTATCCGTGAAAATCTACGAAAACATATATATATATATATCTGTACCTACCTATTTACCTATCAATCAATCTATCTATCTACCTACCTACCTATCAATCTATCATCTATCTATCATCTATCACAAGGGTCTTCAAACTTGGCAAGTTTAAGACTTGTGGACTTCTACTCCCAGAATTCCTGAGCTAACATGACTGGAGGAGGAGGAATTCTGGGAGTGGAAGTCCACCAGCCTTGCAAAGAAGAAAGGAAAAAAAGAGATGTGCTTCGCCTGACGTTTCTTCTCTGGTGCTGGTCCAAATTTCTGTAGTCAATTAATGGAAAATAACAAGAGCTG